TGTAAATGCAAAAATTGGGCAGTCAGGACGACATCGTGACAAGAGAGAAGCCATGTGTCCGTTTTTGGTGTAAACAAAAAGAGCATCAACTTCCAAATTGTTAGCTGCGGAATCACAACAGATATTAGTACTCAGCCAAACAGAAAAAAGATAAGAAAATGTATTAACAGGTAACATTAGGATATGCTTTCTTCAAGGAATGGCTCGTTGAGCCTCTACTTGAATTTAAACATCCATATCCACAACATGAGGGTAACAAATTGTGACTGCCTTGCACAGTAGTAATTACGAAACTATTTTAGGTCCCAGCCCCCAAACCCAAAGCAAAGTGTCTTCAGAGAAGAACCTACATTCTAAAATAAAACTGCTTCTTTCTGCTGTGAAGTCGTTATAAAACTAAAGTGCCCGTCCAATAAACATATCCATCCATTAAAGGAAAACTTTTGGTCTTTGCTAAATTTAACGGACACTGCAAAAATGCTAATTGGATTTACACCCGTTCTCTCTAGAGTAATTATTTCAAATTTCATGAATCAAAGTCTAGTCTTTACGGCAACATTAGCAACAAACTACTATTGCATCTGCAGGCTAGAAAAATAATAAGGAAATAAAATTCTATAGAAAAATCAATTTTTGTAAAGAAAAATCTATTCAAAAATAAATTTATCCAATAGAAAGAATCTTACCCATCTTGGCAGCAGAGTTGCAAATCTCCTCTGAAATACTGCCAGTAAAGGAAGACGCTATGGATGGTAGTTCAATAACTTCATGGTGTTTTTGTTCTCTCCAGCTTCTTTCAATTCTCAAACTAGCACTTCTTAGAACACTCAATGCCTTCTCAGGGTACTGGCCCATGGCTGACTCACCAGAGAGCATCAAAGCATCCCCCCTTTGCCTAACTGCTTCAGAAATATCAGCCACTTCGGCTCTAGTTGGAATAGGGTATTCAATCATAGATTCAAGCAGCTGGGAGGCTACTATAACAGGCTTATTAAGCTGCCTGCATAACTGAACAATCCTTTGCTGTTCTGATGGGACCTGTTCAAGCGGAATTTGAGCACCAAGATCTCCTCTTGCCACCATAGCTCCATCTGATGCCTGAATTATCTCTTCCAAGTTCTTCAATGAGTCAATGCTCTCTATCTTTGCAATTACGGCAATATCACTGCACAGTACATTAGATCATATTAATGAATCATCCCACCCCTACAAAGATACTTCATTTGGAAGGAAAGAGGCATCATGGCAGAAGCAGCTTTTGATGCTTAGAAGCGACTGTATTCTTACGAATTAGGAGAGTGGGCTTTAATGTAACTCTTAAGATGCTTAATGACTTCAGCAGATTTGACAAATGATATAGCAATGAAATCAACGCCCTCAGCAATCCCAAAGTCGATGTCTAGCCAATCCTGTAGCAACAAATTGATTGAGAAAGACTAAAATTCCAAATTTTGGAAGTTAAGCATAAAGAGAAGTGTGACAAAACGTTTATGCACAGAGCCTGCATAAATTTGAGTAGAGGAGAAAGTATCCAAATAAAGTGAATGAAGATGAGCTAAGAAGTAGATGAATATCATTTTAACCACCAGGTAAGAGTTCAAGGTTGTTCTACTGCAAGCAAAATCAAAAACTCATTTTACTCTTTAGGCAACAGAATACAAATCAGTGCATAAATGAGACGTCAATTGTTGGAATATTTAACATACATCTTTTAGTGTAAATGGAAGTTCATATGTATATAATTGGTCAATGAAATCTGTATGATAACATCTAAAAGTAAGCAACTGCTTAGTTAGTGAAATCAAATACTGTAACTTAGATTCAGCAGCTATTTGATGAGAAATTTCATTCAATAATCACTAAGATTAGAAATCATCAAGAATAAGACTGTATATCTATAACAGGATTATGAGGGGTGAGAGACGGGTGGATACAGAGTGTTAGCTATGGGTTCACCGAACCAGTAGCTTTGGCTCGAACCCTATATATGTGTTAAAAAGTTCACTAAATAAGTACAAATAATTGATTGCGAACCAATATAGCAAATGAGTTGTGGTAGAATCCCAAACTCTGAAATATTTTACAAAATGCATAAAAATCATAGTTACAACAACAACAACAAAAAATCCAGTTTAATCCCATAAGTGTGGTATGGGGCAGTGTGTAGGCAGACCTTACCCCTACCTTATAAAGGTAGAGAGGTTGTTTCCGATAGACCCTCGGCTCAAGGAACAGTAAATTAAAAATCATAGTTAAAGAAAAAATTGCTTGCCCCAAACTAATGATAATGAAGTACACAATGAGACAAAAAGAGTATTAATAGAAAAGGGTTTGTCCATTGGGAAATTCTTTTTCACATTTTAATACCAAAAAGGTAAATAAACCAGCTCTAGAGAGTAGAGAGTATTACATATCAATACCAGATATCTGAAGCATTAACTATGGGAGATGAAGGAATTAGGTTCCATAATCTTTATCTGTTACCGAAAGCTTAATTCCTAGAATATATTTATCACGAGGCCGGCAACATTTGTGGAGATAGAAAGCTGCAGGTTGCAATTATAGGGAAAAATTACATACTACTACAAGAATTCATGCTTAAGCCAAAGATGTATGTCTCAATTGCAGTTATGTAAGCTGAGCATATAAAAAGGATCTGCACAAGGAACATAGATGCAAACCTTTGAAGAAATAGTCGGAAGCATTGCATTGCGTTCGCTTACTAATTTAGCATCCCGCCAAAATGTCAAATTGGCCCGAGGTAATAGAAGTCCAGGATCTGTACATAGACACTTAACATCTGGACCAATTTTCTGAATCACTTCAAACCTCACCATTCCACCGTCTATTAGTAGCTCGTCACCCACTTTCACATCTGTAGTGATGCAATTAAGTCAAAAACAAAAAAGTGAAACTTCAAAATATTCATCTACCAATAAGCACTGGAAACTCAAACTGTTCTATATTTGATATGTGATACAAAATGTTTTTGCAAAAATTTTTTTGCTTCTTAAATCATTTTCTGGAGATTTCTTGTCTACAATTGTTAAAGATTTTTACACAAGAAAACCATTTTACACCAAATGAGGAAAAACAATATAAATTTTTTAATGGCAGAAATTATGTTTTCACAATAATTATGTCAATTCATACTTCATACCACTTGTGATTAACATCATGTAAATATTATCTATTAACTATACTAATCGCAACAACACCCTCATGTTCCAACCTAGCACTTTCTACTACTATCACATGTCACCACCACCTTTGTGTCTAAACCAAACACTGTCAGATAGTATGAAAAGTAGTTTCCCTTATGGAAAGTTGGACATATCATACCAAACAAACTACAGTTCATTGGAAAAAAATAGTTTTACTTTCTCTTTCAGTTTATACAGCACACCTTCAGCAAATCCATCATAGTTAACATTAATGGTGTGTCGCGGGATTGGTGAATCAAATGCTCGAACAGTGAAAGTCCAAATTTCCCCATCCTGCACAGGTGGAGTCATTAGCAATTGCCTGTTACACATGAAGATGGCTCAAAAGCATAAAGATAAGTAACTATCCATATTCTCAATAGCTTCAAACAGTTTTCACAAACTATACTTGGTATTTAACATAGTTTCTTTTTCTACTAAGATGAAAAGTTCATGCAAATATGCCTGCCATTACCACTGAAACAGTAAAACTAACAAGCAATGCAACCGGAAGTCTCTGAGATTCTACCCTCCAACTTGGGAAAACAACATACTAAAGGGTTTTGTTTGTCCAAAACTGCAGCAAAAATCCAACAGGCTATGCCACCCACTTCTGACATTTGTTCATCCCTCTAATTCTTGCTTCCTAATCCACCAGAATTTTGTCCACTCCGTAACATTAAGAGCAAATCTCAACACATTTTTGCTGATACAACAAAAAGAGAAACTCCAAATTGAGCTACTAATACAATTGGAAAGCTTGCACTTCCAAAGAGCAACTCCAGTCATTCTCGTGCAACAATTTGGGAGAAAAAAATAAATCGAAGAAAAGATCTCGAAGCCCCACTATACCCTAATAGAGCCAACACCTATTATGATGAACCTGAATATAATGTCATAAACCAGAATCTTGCTCTAACTTTACTGACTAAGAGGTTGTTTGTGCAAGCTTCTAAGCAGTTTTTGACTTATCTACACATTCGGTAAGCATTAGAAGTTCTTATAACCAAGTCTTATAAGCCAAAGTGTACTATTTTATTCTTAATATCTTTTGTAATTTTTGAAATACCCTTCCCAGCACAAATGAAATACCCTTCCCAAAACAAAATTCTGAACTTCCTCTCCATTCCATTTCAGTTGTTCTTCCTTCTCCTTGTAAATATACAAAATTATATTTTTTGTAAATTTGTTTAAGGGCATTTTGGTTATTTTAATAACTTTTTTTGATGATGTAGGTACTGAGTAACTTTAATCACCAAGGCTTAAGCATATGGGAAGAAATTACGTAGTATTTTTTTTGTCTCCGCGGGGATTTGAACTTGAGACCTCAATCCCTCATGTGATTGAGTTGGGCATAGAGCGGAGCGAGCCCGGGGAGAGGAGTAGAGTCCAGCAACATTGAGCGTCAAAATAGAGTTTTTATTCAAATCTCTACTCTACATGGTGCCTTAAAGAGAATCCGAAGCTGCTTGGTAGAAGAAGTAGCGCGACAAAGAGCAAATCGGAGCATGGTTCTTCAGATATTTTTACTTAGCTAAGCCAAAAGGGCTCTAAGAAAATAATTATACTATTAGTTTTACATTCAGGCTCCTTAACTTGTAACCAATGAAAGAGGTAAAAGTATTTAACCCATAAACATTTAATGCTATTGATGAAGCAGCAGCAGATGTATACATCTGTTGGGTTTTTAAGCTTAAATGTAGCTTAAAAAAGGGTGAATGGGAAATGGAGGGAAATTGAAAATATTTGAGTTTCCCTCCTTGACAAAGGGACATTATCCCATATTGGAAGAGAAAAAGGTTTTGATGGGTATATATACAATTGCTCTTAAAGAGTTAAGAAGAAGGCAAGCCTCGCGCCGTCGTCGGTCAAATGATCGATTAATTTTTTGGACCAAATTTATTTGTTAATATTAACAGAAATGTTATTAAATATCCGTTTTTTTTGTAAACGGAAAATTAAATCCAACGGAACATTATATGCCCTTTCGGTTTTTGTAAAAGCCATTTACGTTATGGCCGTTTTACACAAACAACCCTTCTGAAGAGTTGCACCTCTTAAGTTTGAGCTCAACATTGGCTATAAATACCAGTTCATTCTCTCAGATTTTCCGTACGAATTTCTGAGTTCTCCTCCTTTCTTCTGCATTGTTTTAACTACAAAGAATGCAACAGTAAGTGTGATTTGCTACCGATCTTTGTGTTCGCTGAAACACTGGGGTTTGAAATACCGCTACACTAGTGTGTAATTCGTTCTATCCTGGGAGGAAATAATCCACAACCTTGGGTACTAGGAGGGGATTAAATTCCTTAAGAAAACACTGTGAATTCAGTGGGCTCGGATTAAATTTTGTTTATATGTTATTTTATCTTCTCCAGAATTATTTTACAAATACAGTTTACTATCAAGCTTAAGGAATTTAATATTTGTGTTATACTCACTGTTCTGGAGACTAAAACCTTTGTGGTTTTCTACTCCATGGGAGATTAAAATCTACGTGATTTTAACGTTTGTTTGTGTCATTCTTTTACAGAAATGACGAATGACAACCAGACTGTTCCTACGGTGACTGTCAATGCATCGACAAGCCGAACAACACCGGCAAAAAAACCCGAAATTTTTTTCCGGATTGATTTCAAGCAGTGGCAGCAGAAGATGTTCTTCTACTTGACGACTTTAAGTTTGCAGAAATTCATTAAGGAAGATGTTCTGCCCGACGAAACTCCAAAAAATGAACGTTTTCTCGTGGAAGCATTCTGATTTTCTATGCAAGAATTACATTCTTAACGGACTGGAGGATGATCTGTATAATGTCTATAGTAATGTGGAGACGTCAAAACAACTATGGATAGCACTTGAAAGGAAATACAAAACGGAAGATGTCGGGTTAATGAAATTCGTTGCCGCTAAAAGTTTGGACTACAAAATGGTAGATAGCAAGTCTGTTATTACCCAAGTCCAGGAATTGCAAGTGATTATTCACGATCTCCTTGCTGAAGGTATAAGTCAAATTAATACTAAAAGTATTAATTATATTATTTTTACTAACAGAATTTTCACTGAAGGTTTTGTCATCAATGAAGCATTCCAAGTTGCAGCGATGATTGAGAAGTTGCCTCCTTTGTGGAAGGACTTTAAAAACTACTTGAAACACAAACGCAAGGAGATGTCCCTTGAAGATCTCATTGTTCGGTTGAGAATCGAAGAGGACAACAAAGCTGCTGAAAAGAAAGGCCGTGGAAACTCAACAATAATGGGAGCAAATATTGTTGAGGATACTCCTCAAAATAATTGAAAGAGGAAGAAGGCTTCTGGACCGAAAAACAACCCAAGCAAGAAGCGGTTCAATGGAAATTGCTACAACTGTGGAAAAGCTGGACACAGATCTGCAGATTGTCGTGCTCCAAAGAAAGACAAGAAGAAGGGTCAAGCAAACATGGTTGAAAAACATGAAGATGTTGATGACTTGTGTGCTATACTTTCTGAATGCAACCTGGTGGGAAATCCTAAGGAGTAGTGGATTGATTCTGGAGCCACTCGCCATGTTTGTGCTGTTAGAAAAGCGTTTGCTACATATGCTCCTATTGGACCCGAAGAGACGTTTTCTATGGGAAATTCTGCAACGGCCAAAATTGAAGGATGTGGGAAGATGTTTCTGAAAATGACTTATGGTAGGGTGGTGATTTTGAACAACGTCCTTCATGTTCCAGAGATTAGAAAGCGTTTTTAACAAGAAGTCCAGCAGAGACTAAGTTCTTTCTAATCTCTGAAACATGAAGGACGTTGTTCAAAGTCACCACCTTACCAGAAGTCATTTTCAGAAACATCTTCCAACATCCTTCAATTTTGGCCGTTGCAGAATTTCCCATAGAAAACATCTATTCGGGTCCAACATGAGCATATGTAGCAAACGCTTCTCTAACAGCACAAATATGGCGAGTGGCTCCAAAATCAATCCACCACTCCTTAGGATTTCCCACCAGGTTGCATTTAGAAAGCATAGCACACAAGTCATCAACATCTTCGTGTTTTTCAACCATGTTTGCTTGACCCTTCTTCTTGTCTTTCTTTGGAGCACGACAATCTGCAGATCTGTGTCCAGCTTTTCCACAGTTGTAGCAATTTTCGTTGAACCGCTTCTTGCTTGGGTTGCTTTTCGGTCCACAAGCCTTCTTCCTCTTTCTATTATTTTGAGGAGTATCCTCAACAATATTTGCTCCCATTATTGTTGAGTTTCCACGACCTTTCTTTTCAGCAGCTTTGTTGTCCTCTTCGATTCTCAACCGAACAATGAGATCTTCAAGGAACATCTCCTTGCGTTTGTGTTTCAAGTAGTTTTTGAAGTCATTCCACAAAGGAGGCAACTTCTCAATCATCGCTGCAACTTGGAATGCTTCATTGATGACAAGACCTTCAGTGAAAATTCTGTTAGTAAAAACAATATAATTAATACTTTTAGTATTAATTTGACTTATACCTTCAGCAATGAGATCGTGAATAATCACTTGCAATTCCTATACTTGGGTAATAACAGACTTGCTATCTACCATTTTGTAGTCCAAAAATTTAGCAGCAGCGAATTTCTTTAACCCGACATCTTCCGTTTTGTATTTCCTTTCAAGCGCTATCCACAGTTGTTTTGACGTCTCCACATTACTATAGACATTATACAGATCGTCCTCCAGTCCGTTAAGAATGCAATTCTTGCATAGAAAATCAGAATGCTTCCACGAGAAAGCGTTCATTTTCTGGAGTTTCGTCGGGCAGAACAGGAACATCTTCCTTAATGAACTTCTGCAGACTTAAAGTCGTCAAGTAGAAGAACATCTTCTGCTGCCACAGCTTGAAATCAAACCCGAAAAATTTTTCAGGTTTTTTTGCCCGTGCCAATGCCGGTGTTGTTCGGCTTGTCGATGCATTGACAGTCACCATAGGAACAGTCTGGTTGTCATTCGTCATTTCTGTAAAAGAATGACACAAACAAACGTTAAAATCACGTAGATTTTAATCTCCCATGGAGTAGAAAACCACAAAGGTTTTAGTCTCCAGAACAGTGAGTATAACACAAATATTAAATTCCTTAAGCTTGATAGTAAACTGTATTTGTAAAATAATTCTGGAGAAGATAAAATAACATATAAACAGAAATGTAAAAAGAAACAGAATTTAATACGAGCCCACTGAATTCACAGTGTTTCCTTAAGAAATTTAATCCCCTCCTAGTACCCAAGGTTGTGGATTATTTCTCCCATGATAGAACGAGTTACACACTGGTGTAGCGGTATTTCAAACCCCAGTGTTTCAGCGAACACAAAGATCGGTAGCAAATCACACTTACTGTTGCTTTCTTTGTAGTTAAAACAATGCAGAAGAAAGGAGGAGAACTCAGAATTTCGTATGGAAAATCTGAGAGAATGGACTGGTATTTATAGCCAATGTTGAGCTCAAACTGAAGAGGTGCAACTCTTCAGAAGGGCTATTTGTGTAAAACGACCATAACGTAAATGGCTTTTACAAAAACTGAAAGGGCATATAATGTTTCGTTGGATTTAAAATTAATTTTTCGTTTACAAAAAAACAGATATTTAATAACATTTCTGTTAATATTTACTATTAACAAATAAATTTGGTCCAAAAAATTAATCAATCAATCGATCTTGATAGTAAACTGTATTTGTAAAATAATTCTGGAGAAGATAAAATAACATATAAACAGAAATGTAAAAGAAACAGAATTTAATCCGAACCCACTGAATTCACAGTGTTTCCTTAAGGAATTTAATCCCCTCCTAGTACCCAAGGTTGTGGATTATTTCCTCCCAGGATAGAACGAATTACACACTGGTGTAGCGGTATTTCAAACCCCAGTGTTTCAGCGAACACAAAGATCGGTAGCAAATCACACTTACTGTTGCTTTCTTTGTAGTTAAAACAATGCAGAAGAAAGGAGGAGAACTCAGAATTTCGTATGGAAAATCTGAGAGAATGGACTGGTATTTATAGCCAATGTTGAGCTCAAACTGAAGAGGTGCAACTCTTCAAAACTGAATAGGTGCAGCTCATCAGAAAGACTGTTTGTGTAAAACGGCCATAACGTAAATGGCTTTTACAAAAACCGAAAGGGCATATAATGTTCCGTTGGATTTAATATTATTTTTTTGTTTACAAAAAAAAAAACGGATATTTAATAACATTTATGTTAATATTTACTATTAACAAATAAATTTGGTCCAAAAAATTAATCAATCAATCGATCATTTGACTAAATCCAAATCCGAAGCCGAGTCGAGCGACGGCGGCGCGAGGCTTGCCTTCTTCTTAACTCTTTAAGAGCTAGAAGAAGAGCAATTGTATATATACCCATCAAAACTTTTTCCTCTTTCAATATGGGATAATGTCCCTTTGTCAAGGAGGAAAACTCAAATATTTTTAATTTTCCTCCATTTCCCATTCACCCTCTTTTAAGTTACATTTAAGCTTAAAACCCCAACAATCCTCCACATGAATGGGGAATGGCTATATCACGGAAATATGCATGAAAAACTGTGTGATTCGCAAGTAAGGATTAATTGCATCTGGATAAGTAAGTTTCCCTTTGAACTTTTCGTAGTGAACTTATGTCGGATATACTCGGTCAATTGGTAGATTTGATAACTTTGAACCGTCGAACTTTAGTGTATACCTAGACAACCATAAGTCACACAACCAACCCTTAACCGTCTTTGGCTCTCATTGTTGTGTTCGTTTCAGCCATGAACACCGCCTGGTTTCATAAGTGCGTAGAGAACTGGCCTTATAAAATTCTCCTTGAAGCGGCTAACACTTCACACTTACATAGGTGATTCCTAAACGTGTCATCCCGTAGATACACTATTTGATATACCCCGTATCAAATTTAGAAATCATTAAAAAACCTTAATGCTTTATCCTTGGTACTGAACATTGTCTCATCACGAGAATGGACCAAAATTTGAGTTGACAATGTTGAACCGTCATTCATGACTTTGTTTGATCTCCTTGAACCTATATCTTGGGATCTCCAGTCTTCTAGGTAGAGTTACCGCCACAATGGCTTGTTCTCGGCCATAGTCCCATTCCCCTCGATGATTTTTCAACTACCTCTCTAATTAGGCTTTTTGTAAGTGGATCCGACACATTATCGCTTAACTTTACATAGTCAATCGTGATAATTCCTCTAGAGAGTAATTACCTAACGTTTTTATGTCTTCGTCATATATGGCGAGATTTACCGTTATACATCACGCTCCCAGCCCTTCCAATTGCCGCTTGACTATCGCAATGTATGCATATTGGTGCCAACGGTTTGGGCCAAAATGGAATGTCTTCCAAGAAATTCCGGAGCCATTCAGCTTCTTCACCGGCTTTATCTAAGGCTATGAACTCAGCTTCCATTGTAGAGCGGACAATACAAGTTTGCTTGAACGACTTCCAAGATACTGCTCCTTCACCAATAGTGAATACATATCCACTTGTGGACTTAGAATCAGTTGAACCGGTGATCCAATTTGCATCACAGTATCCCTCAATCACCGCAGGATATTTACTGTAGTGCAAAGCAAAGTCATTGGTATGTTCTAAATATTCCAAACTCGTTTCATTGACATCCAATGTGATTGACCTAGATTGCTCGTGTATCGACTCAATTCACTTATAGCACAAGCTATATCTAATCGTGTACAATTCATGATATACATTAAGCATCCCAACACACGAGCATAATCCAATTGTGATATGCTTTGGCCTTTGTTCTTTGCTAATGCAAGATTCACGTCAATTGGAGTCTTTGCAATTTTAAACCCTAAGTGCTTGAATTTTCCAAGTACTGTCTTAATATAATGAGATTGTGACAATGCCAGACCTTGAGGAATCTTAATCCCCAGAATTAAATCAGCAACTTCCAAGTCCTTCATATCAAACTTGCTAGTTAGCATACGCTTAGTCGCATTTATGTTGGCAATGTCATTACTCATTATCAGCATATCATCCACATATAAGCAAACAATGACTATGTGATTTGGAACATTTTTAATGTACACACATTTATCACATTCATTTATCTTAAAACCATTTGACAACATTGTTTGGTCAAATTTCGTATGCCATTGTTTGGGTACTTGTTTTAGTCCGTAAAGGGACTTAACAAGTCTACATACCTTCTTTTCTTTACCTGGAACCACATACCCTTCAGGTTGTTCCATATACATTTCTTCCTCCAAATCTCCATTTAAGAAGGTCGTCTTAACGTCCATTTGATGAATTTCAAGACCATAAACTGCAGCTAATGCTACTAACATTCGTATGGACGTAATTCTTGTAACTGGAGAGTAAGAATCAAAATAATCAAGACCTTCTCGTTGTCTATACCCTTTGACTACAAGTCTTGCCTTATATTTATCAATAGTGCCATTATCTTTCATTTTCCTCTTAAAAATCCATTTAGAACCCAAAGGTTTATTTCCAGGAGGAAGATCAACCAATTCTCATGTATGGTTGTTCAATGTGGATTCCATTTCACTATTGACTGCCTCTTTCCAAAACAATGATTTCAAAGAAGACATAGCTTCTTTAAATGTTCGAGGCTCATTTTTCAATAAGAAAGTCACAAAATCTGGTCCAAATGAAGTAGATGTTCTTTGACGTTTACTACGTCTTATATCCTCCTTATTAAATATACTTTCTTTTGTTTCTTCCCGTGGTCGTTTAGATCCTTCACCAACCGACTCAAATTCCTTTTTATACGGATATATATTTTCAAAGAACTCAGCATTATCTGATTCTATAACCATATTATTATGAATGTCGGAATTTTCTAATTTATGAACCAGAAATCGATATGCTTTATTATTAGTCGCAAATCCTATAAAAACACAATAAACGGTTTTCGGTCCTATTTTTACTCTTTTGGGTTTAGGAACTTGCCCTTTTGCCAAACGGCCCACGCTTTAAAATAATTCAAAGTAAACATTAACGCTATTGATGAAGCAGCAGCAGATGTATACATCTAACAACGGTGAATTCAAAGTGAACATTACCTCAGCTTTAGCCGATGAAGCGCCACCGAGATCTCCCATATGAATCTCGCTACCTTCAGTGTCCATCATTATGGCGACCGCGAAGCCTTTCTCCTCATTCAACCTCCGAACTCTCTCGATCACCATACGATGCCATTCCCGAGTTCCATGACACATATTGATCCGCGCAACGTTCATTCCTCCCACAGCTAACGCCTCCAACTGCTCAATCCCGCACGTCGCTGGCCCGATCGTACATATCAGCTTCGTCCTTCGCGTACTCCTGAAACCATTCTCCTTCAACTCCGCCTCCGTCACCGCGTCCACCTCAAAATCCGCGACCGCATTGTAAGTATCATGCACCTGCGTCGCACTTGATCGTATCACTCCCGAACCGTTCTCTGAAGCTGAAGCTATTACGATTGGTGTACGTAGAAATGTCTTCACCGGTAACCGTGAACGGACGGCGGAGACAGGAAATGCTGGTCGTTTTGAGGTTGCGAAGGTCGTAGGCGAGCAGGAAGAGGAAGAAACCAAAAAGTTCAAAACGTGTGACATTTTTCTACCGGAAAATTACAGCAAGTACGAATAGCTTTGACTCTCCGGCGGCCAGCGGTCGTTAACGGCGGTGAATTAGATAGAATTCGCGCCACAGGGAAAGAGCGAAAATGAGAGAAACAGAGTGTACGAATAATTTGAAGAGGACGATGGCGGAGATAGCGATGCAGGTGCTAGGAAATGGAACTTGAATAGTCCCTTAAGTTTGAGAGTTACTCTATCTTTGTCCTACTTCTATTACACTGGACAAATATTGTCATTTAAGTTTACTAAAATCAAGCACTTTTGGTCCATTTATTACAGCACCAATCAGAACTCTTAGGGGTCGTTTGGTAGGATATAATTAGAAAAAATAATATTGTATTAACTTTGATATTATTATTAATTTATTATTTGATAATATATTTTAACGTATGTATAACTAATACTTATATTTATTATATACTTTATTCATTATTATTTTTATATATAGCGAACCATGACATTCACATTACCATAATTTTTAATATATAGATAAGCATGTCTAAAGACAGAACTGCCCTTTCAAATATTTAATACACCAAAACAAACCGTCGACAAAAAATAATCTCAGCATTACTAATATACCATATTCAATACTATTTTTGTACACCGACCTCTTAAAGATTAGATCTAATACATTGATGGAGCTTCAAACTTGACACTATTTTTCATTTTAGCACCTTTGTCTTCGTAGACCACCTATTGAATATTTCATATTGTTTTTAAACTTATTGGACAAAAATCATATTTGAATTTAACTTATATATACTATTCATTAATCTATCAGCTCATAAAAATCCTTAATGTTATCTTCTATCTCAACATATTCCTAAGTAATTAAAAAGGATCAAATATTCACCTCATATATGGTGAAAGCTATGTTAGTGTATATTTGGATTTTATTAATAAAATATTTTTAATTATTCAGGGCATATTTCAGCTCAAATTTTAGTTTTATTAAAGTTTCTCTGTCACTAAATTAAAGTAATGTGTGCAAAAGGGGGAAAAATGGGCAACCTATACATTATTCACGATAATTATTATATTGGCTAGTTAAATATATTTTAAAAAAATACATTTAGATATAAAATAATCGTCTAGTCTCATCTCCTTCTCCTTTCTTTCCTTTGAATATATTTTTATCTCTAAAATTCCTATTCCTTCGTCAAAAAGGCAGTTCTCAGATCAAAAATCAATTATTCAACTTTATTTCCTCACCGATTAAATTATTGATCTTCGACTCTAATTCTGATAATCACGATCTGGATTTTTAATCCATTTTTTGGATCAGATCTATAAAGTATGGGAGGTTTCATATCGAGATTCTGGTTCATGATGTTTCCAGCAAAAGAGTACAAGATCGTTGTAGTTGGATTGGATAACGCCGGTAAAACGACGACGCTTTACAAGTTGCATTTAGGAGAGGTGGTTACTACAAATCCTACTGTTGGTAGTAATGTTGAGGAGCTTGTTTATAAGAACATACGATTTGAGGTACAAATTCTACATCTGAAACTCTTAATTTATTTGATTTTTTCTTAGTTGTAGTTGGATTGTTTGAACCATTTTATCCTAATTTATGTGACATATTTTCCTTTAGTCTGTCCAAAAAAAAGATGCCTTTCTATAGGTAGAAACAATATAATTTTAAACTTCTCATATTGCCCTTAATGAGATAGATTTATAGCCACACAAATGTACATGGCAAAACTCCTACTTTTATCTTGAGTTATAATTGGATTAGTTAACTTTTAGCATCAAGATTATGCGTGCAGTTATAGTATGAAATTGTTCTAATCTCTTTGTTTGAGTATGTCCAAAAAAATTAGAAATAATTTAACTTTAAACTTATAATGAGATAATTTATGGCCATACTAATGTTTATGATGTGTTTTAGACGGCAAGCTTCAAAATTTTGTCTTTTTTCTGAAACAACGTGCCCAACGAAAACTATCACATAAAATGGGATAGGGAGAGTATTTATGGAGAGCCATTAGTTTTGTATAAGGGTGGTGTCAAGACCAGCGTGCACAAGCTTTGCTTATTGCATTGGATATCTGTGTAATATTGGGAAGATGTTCCCTAGCTTTTTCAAGTTCTCAAGTTCAAATCTCAGTGGGGACAAAAAAATAATAGGTGATTTTCTTTCTATTTATCTAAGCTTGATAAGCAGAATTATCTAGTACTTGTGCTAGTGGGAGGTAGCAGGTACCCTGTAGAATAGTCAAGTTGTGCACAAGCTGGCCGGACACCATTGTCATAAAAAAGATTACTGATCTTTTTAACATTTTTTAGGATTAGAACCCTGGTTTCCCATGGGCTTCGATCCAACTATATTGGACCATGAGATCACACCCTTTAATGCTTGAAAAAGAATGAAATTGTTTAACAGATATAGTGCAGAAATGAATTGGTTAAATACATAGGAATAGTAATTGCAATTTGCGGAGATTTATCGGTATTGCCATTTAGTTTTACTTGTTTAGCTAGCAATGCGTTCTCAGAAATAAATTAATTGACATTTGCTAACATGCTAAGGAGAAGGTTGTGGTTGCTAAGGGGGAGAGCTCATTTGTTCATGATCGTGATTAGCACTCATTGTTTAAAGAAGATATTTATCTGTATAACTGTTATTCTCCGGAATGGTGGTTAATGACAAGTTATCATTAGAAAAATTTCCCCGCAAAGAATTTGTGAGTATGTGAACGCGATCTCTACATTGAATATAACCCTGAAACTAACCACATATTTCCTTTATAGAATGGGCCAGCAGCATGTTATGCGTCTTCCAATTTTGAATTATTTAAGAAATTATCTTTTATGGTATTCTAAGGTGGTTGTGTTAAGCTTGACGATTAACTTTTTCTTTTTTGTTTTGATATTGTTATGATATTTCAAATTATACTTTGAGTGAGCATAGATTCTGAACAAGTCGGTATACATAGAAAAACAATTGAAGTATGAGTTTTTGAGGAAGCTATCCTTTATTTGTTTATTGTTTAGATGAACAAATGCTATTGGTACATGTTGGTTTTCGATGGCCTTATGCACTTTGGGTTGGGGTGGGGGG